GCCTTACCCGTGTCAGTGGTTATATGGATTTGAAGTTTTTGTGACTGCAAGGATCCATATACTCTTTGGTTCTTTCGGTAAAGTCACGTAGATGAATTAAAAAAAAAATAGAATTGTTATTTTCATTTTTTTTATTTATCTACGTGACTTTACCGAAAGAACCAAAGAGTAGTGGTTACACGGTTACACGTCTACGTCTGTGCACATATACGCGGCGAGATATTCTGCAGTGGAAATAGCGACATCTGCTTCCGAGGCGTGTGATGTTGTTTAATAACTCAGCCTTAACGGAGTACTACTCCAGCAGATCAGCACATCAGTACTGGGGGAGACAAAGGCGGTCGGGCATGACATCAGCAAACACCACCCACCCGCGTGTGTATTATTGGCCTCAATAGGCCCTCGCTAATTAGCACTCGTCCCCAATGGTGTGTAAATGTTGTGTAAATGGTGTGTTTCAAGGGTGAAGTGTAGCGCGTTATCTTTGTTACTACGGCTGGGGGTTATGGGCGAGCCGACGAGCACACCACCCCCGGCCATGTGGACACAGACCAAGGGTGGCACAGTCGGGTTTATTACAATCGGGTTTAATTGTCTTTTTATATTAAACCCGACCATCTGAGATTGTGAGAAATCCGGTTTAATTGATTTTAATTGCAGAACCGCACTTCGCAACGATGGGCTTCATCCATTCCAAGCGAAGGAACTCACTGGCGGCGCCCACGATTGTGGAGGAGAAGCTGCTCGTGTTCATCACGACCAACCTGCCCGCCGCATTCTACGACTACCCGGTGCCCGACGGCAGCACCGACTAGGAAAGCAGCCTAAGAGTTTCGTATTCATTAAACCAGGTTTTAATTCCCCGAAATCGGGTTTAATTGTATTAAACAAAAACCCCGATGCCTGCTGCTGGGAATCATCGGGTTTTTTCCCTCACCCATGATACACAGGCTGCCTGCCTGCCTGAGAGAGCGTTACCCGCGTCTGGAGAGGACCCAGGGGCTTGCCAGGCCGCGACGCGACGGGGCCTCCTCCTCCTCGTCGCCTGCTGATCCCCGATCGCCCGGGGTCGCGCCGAACACCCAGCTCCTAAGGGTTTTGGACGCATCGCCTCCCATCGCGCCTCATGCCAAGTCACGAAACAGAGTGTTTGTGTGTTGTTATTGTTGTTGTTGTCGCGAATCAGTGGCCGCGTTATTAATCGCTGACAGGCGAAGCGTCGCTTTAGCCTTAAAACGAGCGGACGAATCTAGGTGCGCCGCATGACGTCACGGCGGACGAAGCGCGGACATGACGTCACGGCGGAAGGAAGCGACTCTCCCTGCGGTGACGTGACGTCACATCTCACTGTGTAAGGAAGCGACGCTCGTGGCGGTGACGTGACGTCACATCTCACTATAAGGACACGACGCTCGCGGCAGTGACGTGACGTCACGTCTTATCAACAGCCTCCCGCGTCGCGAACGCGAGGTAGTGAGTGACGTCACGGTGGATAAAAGTAGCGTGCGCATGACGTCACTCTTGTGTACAACGCTCGTTGACGTCACGAACGCATACCGTAACGAAAAGACGACACTCTCGCGAGGACGTCACGCACACTGCAACCTTCTTGAGATGACGCCTTGTTGCCATCGGTCGCGCGCCACGATGGAGCAGAGGTCGCAAACGGGTTTTGATTCCTTACCCCTCGTACCCGGCCGCACCAGGGTCGCAAACGGGTACCCGTACCCGGCCGTACCCGTACCGTACCCGGCGGCTACGGGTAGGGTACCTGATTGCGACCTCTGGGATGAAGCCATGTTGCAGACGCGGGTGGGTTGATTCTAGGAACTTGAATTGTGAGAAGAGACAAGACGTTGGGAAATGAGTGACAAACGGTGACTCACCAGTGACTCACGGCCTACCCGTACCCGGCCGCACTAGGGTCGCAAACGTATCGGGTACCCGGTTGCGACCTCTGCGATGGAGGCCACATGCCTGTGGTGATGTCACAAGACGACCCATTGATGATGGAATTTTAATGTATTTAACGCGAATGGAATGTTAACGAGTTTACTTTCAAACTATTTAAATGTAATCTCACTGTCGACTCTTGCGAGTGGATCGCCAGAGCGCCCTCTGGTGGAGGCCCCTTCAATACCTGTCAACCCCTTTTCACTGTCCTACCCAATTACAGAACAATTCAGATTTTACTGTTCTAGATTTGAAGCTTTCGTGACTGCAAGGATTCATACTCTTAGGTTTTTTCGGTAAAGTCACGTAGGTAAGAAATGAAATAAAAATTAATAGAAGTAATAATAGAAATAATATTAAAGTCACGTAGGTAAAAAATAAAATTAATATAAGTAATAAAATAAATAAAATGATTACTTCTCGATGTAAAGCTTTCGTGACTGCAGGGATACATCTTCTTGGTTCTTTCGGTAAAGTCACGTAGAATGGAAATAATAATAAAAGAAAACATAATAAAATATATTACTTTATACAATTTTATGTTTAACTTTTATTATTTTATTATTTCCATTCTACGTGACTTTACCGAAAAAACCTAAGAGTATGAGTATCAGACTTTCCCGGTCACGCCGTGACCTTATAAACCTCAATGTTCATCCTGCAATGCCTCATCGCAAGGGAGAAACACAAACAAATAGACAAAAACAATTCCCCCCATTGAAACGTATGCGCGCCGTATGAACCTGAAAACTGAATTTCCTGTACAAGAATACGGGGTCAGGGGCCGTCCATAAATGACGTCACGCGATTTTGGACGATTTTTAACCCCCCCCCCCCCCTCGTCACACTGCGTCACAAAAAGTAAGACCCCCCTCAAATATGACGTCACAAAGCTCTGCACCCCCCCCCCCCCCCAAAATAAAACATGCATAAAATCGCTTTAAACTATTGTCATTGTAGTGCGTATTTAATGTGGCGCTGCACTCTGATGTTGTAGGAGAAAGCATTTATTAAAAGTCTATTTAATTAAGTAGAACGTGTTGTCTATATTTATTTTGATGTGACGTCACATTTCTCACCCCCCCCCCCCTCGTCACACATCGTCACAAATGTCTGACCCCCCCCCCCCCCCAGGTGCGTGACGTCATTTATGGACGGCCCCTAAACCGTATGGGTTGACAGCTTTGCCCCTTCCGCCAGCAGCGGCGTCAACCTCGCAATTGCAGGGACTGCGCGCCAAGAGGAGGGACCACAGACGAGGAGCAGGCCAAGGCAGCACCACCAAATTCCGCCCCCCCCCTACCCAAAGCGCTGCGGTCCGCTACATATGTATTCAGGTGTTGTTGGCCATTGCATCTTTCCGTGTGATTGGAAACTGGAGCACTTGGACAAACCCAACGCGTGCGAATGTAGCAAGGCCGTAGTCGTGGAGTCAACTTTGGGGGGGGACCCCCACACCCCCTGGAAGATTTGGTCACCCCCCCCAAGCAGAAAAATAATCAAAATTTTAAAACTAATTTCCTATATTCTTGGTTCTTTCGGTATAGTCACAGAGAAGGGAAATAATCAAATAAAATACATATTTTTAGAGAGATAATACAAATATTTTATTATTTCCCTTCTACGTGACTTTTTCGAAAGAACCAAGAATATGAATCCCTGCAGTCACGAAAGCTTTAAATCAAAACGAATTTCCTCCCTAAAATAGAAAATAATTCACTAGCACATAGGATGGACTTTTTATTTATTTTTTACAATAATGTCTAATAGTGTATTGTATTCCATTGCTCTGTTTTTTTCGTTTTTACCTTTTCTTGTTTCATTGTATGTAATGTCAGAGATTAGGGATTAATAAAGTACAACCATAACCACAATCATAGAAACAGAAATCTATTTTATAGCAATATATTGGGGGTATGGCTCTTTCTCGACGCCCACGTGAAGGGAGTTGTATAGCTGTCAACACGTACGGTTTACCCCGTATTGGTTTATAATAAGGGGCCGTCCATAAATGACGTCACGCACCTGGGGGGGGGGGGGTCAGACATTTGTGACGATGTGTGACGAGAGGGAGGGTGAGAAATGTGACGTCACATCAAAATGCGCAACTTTAAATAAATATCGACAATACGTTCTACTTAATTAAATAGACTTTTTATTAAATGTTTGCTCCTACAACAGAGTGCAGCGCCACATTAAATACGCACTACAATGACAATAGTTTAAAGCGAACGCACGAAGCATGTTTTATTGGGGGGGGGGGGGCAGAGCTTTGTGACGTCATATTTGAGGGGGGTCTGACTTTTTGTGACGCCGTGTGACGAAGGGGGGGGGGGGGGTCAAAAATCGTCCAAAATCGCGTGATGTCATTTATGGACGGCCCCTAAGGTAGGCACTGATAAGGTGTATAATTGACATAATCTGTGTGTGTGTGATCCATCAAACACTCACTGCCCCCCCCCTCACAGCGCGGAATGATGACAGGCCACGTGCAGCGTACCCACAATAACCACAACTCATTTTCGATTTAAAGCTTTCGTGACTGCAGGGATTCATCTTCTTGGTTATTTCGGTAAAGTCACGTAGAAGGGAAATAATAAAATAATAAAAATAAAACATAATAAAATAATTCTCACGACGTTTCGGCCACAACGCAAGCAGCCGTCCTCAGGTGGAGAGCAGGTCTGTCGAGTAGACAGAGTCTGAATTACACACTCCAGGCTTGGAGCGACTATTTAAGCTGGGATGGAGGGGGGTCGCTACAAGCCTGGCGTGTGTCATTCAGACGCTGTCTACTCGACAGACCTGCTCTCCATCTGAGGACGGCTGCTTGCGTTGTGGCCGAAACGTCGTGAGAATTATTTTATTATGTTTTATTTTTATTATTTTATTATTTCCATTCTACGTGACTTTACCGAAAGAACCAAGAAGATGAACCACAACTCGTTGAACTTAACAAGATGGCGAGGAGAGGGCGGCGGCGTCACGTGACCGCGCTCACGCGACGAGTGCCGTCACGTGACCAGCCCCCCCCCCCCACAGCAACTCGGGGTTGGTCGCCATGGCGACGCGGAACGCACGGAGCTTAGGCGACAGCATTCGACACAAAACAACACACTTGGACAACACCAACACAACATTACACACTTATACAACACCTACACACACAGCCCTTGCATAAACACCTACACAACACTACATAGGCCGCTTCTGCTGCTGTAGATTCACGCAGAAGTAAGTTAACGCGACTGACAACTCAGCAATATCATCGCCCGCGTCACATTCACGACGTTACTCTTGCGCAGACCACCTACACAACGTTAATATAAAGACAAATATAAAGACATCGTCTACACAGCTACAGAGTAGCACCACGTCAATGTACACCCACTTCAACCACCTTCACATAAAATTAATGTAACGAATGACGAATGACATGTGATTAGTATAACACCAGCCTAATACAGGTACAGTAATGTAACATTAGACACCAACCCATGGTGATTGTACAGCGAGTGTCACTGGTAAGTGGTCAGGGTTGGCTGTCAGAGATGTCTCCTGTGGTGAGTTGTACCTTCTGAGTTGAACCTCGTGGTGAGTTGTAGCTGGTGGTGAGTTGTACCTTGTGGTGAGTTGAACCTCGTGGTGAGTTGTACCTTGTGAGTTGTACCTTGTGAGTTGTACCTGGTGGTGAGTTGTACCTCGTGGTGAGTTGTTCCTGTGGTGAGTTGTACCTTCTGAGTTGTACCTTGTGGTGAGTTGTAGCTGGTGAGTTGTACCTCGTGGTGAGTTGTTCCTGTGGTGAGTTGTACCTTCTGAGTTATACCTTGTGGTGAGTTGTACCTTCTGAGTTGTACCTTGTGGTGAGTTGTACCTCGTGGTGAGTTGTAGCTGGTGGTGAGTTGGACCTGGTGGTGAGTTGGACCTGGTGGTGAGTTGTACCTTGTGGTGAGTTGTACCTTGTGGTGAGTTGTACCTTCTGAGTTGAACCTCGTGGTGAGTTGTACCTTGTGGTGAGTTGGAGCTGGTGGTGAGTTGAACCTCGTGAGTTGTACCTTGTGGTGAGTTGTAGCTGGTGAGTTGTACCTTGTGGTGATTTGTAGCTGGTGGTAAGTTGTACCTCGTGGTGAGTTGTAGCTGGTGAGTTGTACCTCGTGGTGAGTTGTACCTTGTGGTGAGTTGTAGCTGGTGAGTTGTACCTCGTGGTAAGTTGTACCTTGTGGTGAGTTGTTCCTGTGGTGAGTTGTACCTTGTGGTGAGTTGTACCTTGTGGTGAGTTGTTCCTGTGGTGAGTTGTACCTTGTGAGTTGTACCTCGTGGTGAGTTGTACCTGGCGGTGAGTTGTACCACGTGGTGAGTTGTACCTTGTGGTGAGTTGTTCCTGTGGTGAGTTGTACCTTCTGAGTTGTACCTCGTGGTGAGTTGTACCTGGCGGTGAGTTGTACCACGTGGTGAGTTGTAGACTGTGGTGAGTTGAGTTGTACCTGGTGGTGAGTCGTACCTGGTGTGGGCTGCGTTGTGAGTTAAGAGTTGGCGATGTTGCAAACTCCACAAAGTAGGAAATCGCCAGGTAAACCTAATTGAGTCACTAGACCTCGAGACAAAATTGCTCAGTTGGCAACACTGGAAGAGCTGAGGATCAGCTGTGTCGTATCACCCCATCCATAGGACAGGCTGCCCCCTAGTGTGTACATATATATGGTAAGTCCTCACTTAACGCGTGTTCACGTGGTACGTTTTCACTATAACGCGGTTCTGACATTGGGAAACACTTTTCGCACAACAATAAGCGGTCGATGATGAACTACTTTCTTAACCTGCACGGCCGAGTGGAACAATACACTTTCGCGGAGGCATTCCATTCGTTATTTGTCTCGCCGTCTTCCTGTGTGTGTGTACGGCGTATCTCGCCAAACTTTATCGTTCCATTATTTACGGGGAAATTGGTTTAGCTTATCGCGGCACTTTTCAGGAACGCATCTACCACGTTCAACGAACACTTGCTGTATAATAATAATAATCACAGCTTATATAGCGCCTTTCATAAAAGCTCAATGTACTTTACATCATTGGCAATGGGGGTTTGGGTAAGAAGTGTCTCTAAGTTAAAATATAAAATGCCTTCACAAAGGGAAATGTCTTTAGATGGAAGGACTTGAAGATCCCAACCAAAACCAGATGCCTTGAAAGCTTTTGGCAGAGAGTTCCACGGTCCCGGTGCCACAGGAGTGAAGGCCCAGAGACATGCATCCCGTGTGCGTGCGTCCCTGTGCAGGTGTCAGGTGAGCGGATCGACCAAGTCGGCGCCCGCCATGTCTCAGGCCCAGGCGCACGCGCACCATGTGTTTGGTCTCGCCGGAGCCCCGGGTCCCGGCGCCGCCTCCTTTGCCTTCCTCGACGAGCAGACCCTGGTGTTTGCCGCAGCCAACCAGCTGGTGCGGGCGAGCGCCGGCGCCGGGGCCGAACTGCGGACGCAAGCCCTGACACCAGGGCCCGAGCGGGGTGGCGTCGCCGCCGGGGGAGCCGCGGCGTCGGGGACCGCGAGGGTGCAAGCGGCCGGGCGCGCCTTCGCACTCAGCCCCAACCGCCGCTTCCTGGCGCTGGGCTCGGCACGCATCGCGGCCGCGCTGGCGCCCGCGGACGGTGGCGGCGGTACCGCCGATCGGGCGATGCCGGCCTCCGTGGCGGTGTATGACCTGCAGGCTGAGCCTGTGCGGCGCCGCAAGGTGGGCGGCGACAGCGTTAGGATCATGCCGTGAGCGCCACAGGAAGCTGCTTCCATCTATGATAGGGCCACAGTATTGGCCCTGTCGAGTTAGTGGCTATGCGCATTATACCCACAGATATCACCTTTTGTCAGTTGATCAAGTAGGCTTTCGCGACCAATATCCATAAGAAAGGTTTTTGGGTTAGACCGTGTAAATATAAATGTGTCGTTAAACCCGCCACCACCAGACAGAGCCAATTAGTAAGGTTTGTAACGTAAGATAACATGCCAATTCGTTTCTAGTACAGAACACTGGTATGTTGGAGAGCAAATCCACAACATTTCCACAAATCTGGTTGTCGCCTGATGAAGCTAGTTGTATATATTGGCGATACGTTGTACTCAAGATTGTAAATGATGTGGCTTTGCTCTCCAACACACCGGTGTGCTGGACTAGTAATGAATTGGCATGTTCTGTTTACGTGATAAACCTGACTAATTGGCTTTGTCACATGGTGGCGAGTTTAACGACATTAAAAAGCATATATTATGGATGACCTTTTGTATTAGCCACCTTTCATCTCTGCATCTACTGCGTAGCGTTGGCCCATATTCATGATCACATCAGCTCATCACAAACGGTAAAAAAAAAAACTCGGTACCATCCTCTCGACCCTGCTTCCACGTTTGAAGTGCATGTCAAAAGTGAATGTGCTTCATTCATTCGTCTTCTCTCGGGTCGATTATTGTAATGCCCTCTTGTCAGGCATGCCTCTCAATAGGCTGCAGCATGTTCAGAACGTGGCAGCCCGAGTTCTGTAGAGGGATGAGCTGTGGTGTGGAGTGGGAGAAACTGAGGCGACAGAACCGCATGCCTCCTGAAGCATTGGGATAAGAAACGAGCCATTCTTGGCACGGCCCAGTACAGCTTGAGTCTTCTTTGTAAAGGTCGTAGAAACTTAGGTTGTGGAATCGTGTCATGTTAACCATCGCGTGCTCTGTGGTGTTCTGTGCATTGTGCTGTGGGTTGTGCTGTGTGCCAGGTGCTCAACCTCGGTGATGCACAACTGCAGCAGGCGGCGGGACCACCCGGCGCCCCCGGTGGCCCTGGCGGGGCGGGCGGTGTTCTGACGGGGACCGTGACGGTGCTCACCGGGCCGCCCCCGCAGGACGTGGTGAGCCTGGGCTTCTCGGCCGACTCGCGCTGGCTGCTTGTGCAGGCCGGAGCCCCCGACTGGCTGCTCACTCTCTGGCTATGGGAGAAGGGGCGGCTCATGGCCGCCACTCGCAGTGCCCCCCTTGGGGGTGGACCTGTCCATCAGGTATGTACAAGTGGAAGTGAGAGGAGGGTTGGTCCATTAGGTACTGCAGAAAGGGGGGGGGGGGGGGGGGGGGAGGGATAACAGTTGGTTCATTACATATGCTATAAAGGGATAATTAGGGTTGACCTATTACAGTAGTGGGGAACCTTTTCCTGAGGGCCAAATAGGGCTTTCAAATTAACTAGGGGGCCACACATCAATACGCCCCTTTGCTTCCTCGAATAATAATATGAAATATAAGGGGCTCAACTTTACATTTGAATAAATTGTCATAAGGTGAAAAAATGATGACCCACGAGTAGCTGATTAGTAAGGTTAAGATGATTGCAGCGATAGATAAATATCGTCAGCGGGTTGTGTCGAATTCGTAGGCATAATGTAGCCACGTGTTGCATGAAGGGCTCTGGGCTGTGCTTAATAAGAAATTTGCGTGAAACATCGCCTCTGGTGCCCTATCGCCCCGTGCCGCCCTCCACAGGTGTCGCTGAGCCCCCAGGATGCGGGGCTGGCGTGCGTCACGGGACAAGGCGTGTTCCGCCTATTTCGCTACGCTGAGGGGGCGCTGCGTGGCATGGGGGCAGGCGCGGCACGCGCGGCCATCGACCCCCATGCCCCTGTCTACCTGAGCCACACGTGGCTCGGCCCAGACCGTGTCATCGTGGGCACGGACACGGGACGCCTCCTCACCTTCCTGGGTGGCGAGCAGCGCGGGGAAACAATCGTGGAGTCACCTGTGGGGTGAGGCCAGAGGATATGGCGAGGTCACACGACGGGGTGTCCAAGTGATCTCTATGTGTGTGTGTCACTTGACTGAAGCTACCAGATGTATGGGAGGCTCAACCAGGACACATGCGAGCTGGCCACCCCTCCCTCATCAGCCCCGCCTTCTTCTGTATAGCCACGCCCACTGGACCACTATCTCCACCCACACAGAATGACCTGACGTTGACCCTGCCCACAGCTCAACGGCTCCACCCACCCCTCTGCTAACCCCACCCACTACCTAGGCAGCCCCACCCAATACTCATGTAGCCCCACCCTTTTCCCCGTATCATGAGTTTAACATGAGTCCAGAAAGTGTTAAACTGGGACTAAATCCTGATTTTAGCATCAGCTTTGGGACACCGGGATAAGCTTTTTGAAACCACCGAGGCTGTCCCGGCCAAACCTAGACGCTTGGTAGCTTTACACTTGACCGCCTGTTCGTAGGGCTCCACCTCTACATTCAGATAATCCAGAAACAAAAAAACACCACACTCTGGCAGCCTCACAGAGGACATTAAAGATCCTGTGATGTCATTTGCTATGGTAGGCCATTGTGGGTTGAATTAACTCTTAAGTGGCTATGCAGTCGGACGTGGAACGGCACTGTGTGTACTTTTTTTGGAACACATCTAACGCATAAAGTGAGGGAAACCCAAATCAATAATAAATTACTCTTGGGCGTTGATTGTGTGTGTGCAGGTTGGGTTTCCCTGTGTGGGCCATATGCGCGTTTGCCCGCGGCGTGGCCTGCTCGGCAGGGCCGGGCACCGTGTGTCTTATGGAGCCGGGGGAGGCTCGCGGAGACCCCCTACACCTGGCACGCACAATTCAGGTAACGCGAGCACCAACTGATGCGGCACACCGTACGTGCCACGGCGCCATGTTATGTAGCGGTGCATAGCGCAACGCACTGCAGGGGATAGAACACCCTGCACGTACTACCGTCCCTGTGTGCTTCAGTGCAGCTAAGATACCAAGCCAGCGGTGCTAGCCATGTCCTTACAGATACTGGAATGAGCAATAATGGCTTCCCGATAATTGTCTTTTAGAAATGAGATCTTTTAAGAAAAAAGGATCTTCGAAACCTGCACGTGTGTGTGTTGGGTAATGGTGGCACAGCGATTAGCGCACTCTGCTACGAACCTGGAAACCTGAGTTCAAGTCCCGCTCATGGGCATTAACACCAGTGACGATTATCTGAACCGGTCCTGGGCATCGCCTTTGCCGCGTGCGCGCAGATCCCGGCAGATGCGGGCGCTGGAGACGAAGACCGCGCAGAGGCCCCCGGAGTCACGTCGCTGGTGTTCAGCCCGTCCGAGGAGACACTGCTCGTGTCAACCGATCAACACCGCCTCTACGGCGTCACGCTGTCGGCCAGCGACATCACCAGGGCGAGTGGCATGATCACGCGTCGCCGGGACGTGGTCGCGCCGGCCGGGTCGGGAATTGGGGCGACGACGTGGCCGAGCGGCAGCTCGTTGTGGAGCTTCGCGGTTCGAGTTCACAGCGGCCGCCCTGGTTATCGTTGCGGCGCGTAGCTGTCAAGTGTGTAGGGGGTGCAACTGCACGCGGACCTATAGGCCAGAGGCTATACGAGGGATCTTTGTCTTTTCTATGGGTGTGTGTGCAGGGTGAGGTGTCGTGGCTGGAGCCGGTGTCCCCGCCTCCTCACCACGGCGCCATCACGGGCCTCGATGTGTGCGCTAGGAAGCCGCTGGCCGCCACTTGCTCCCTCGACCGTTCTCTGCGCGTCTGGAACTACGAGACCAAGTAAGGCCCCGACCCCATCGCACGCAATGCGCCGTGGACACGAGACCACTTCCCCTTTTCCACAGGAGCATCCAGCGAGGGGCCCTCACAGTACGGGTGGTGTTTTTCCACTGGCGATTTACCACGCTACGCTGGCCTCACGAGACATCCACACCTCGGTTGTACAGTGGTTTTTGTCTCGAGACTTGGCTTCAGCAGACAGGGGTTTCATTATCGGCTTCCCCAGACTTGGCTTTAGGAAAGCAGGAATCGGGATGAGTGTGGTATCACCGATATCGCAAGACAATATCTACATGGTCAGTGTCTTGACAACACAATTGGTGAAATACGGCTGGGCTCCAGGACCTCCTGGGTAAACGAGTTCAACAAATAAACATGGTGTACTTGCAAGGTTGTGTGTACCTGCGTGTTGGGGGAGCCGCAGCATAGTGGTTCGCGCACTGCGCTACGAACCCGGCAACCTGAGTTCGATTCCCGCTCACGGCCAACACCAGTGACGATTATCCGAACCGGTCCTGGGCCTTTCCTAGATCGACTGAGCCTCAAATGAGTATCTGGTGCGATGTGTAAACATCGTCACTGGGGAGACAAATGCGGCCGGGTTTGGTGCTGCCCACCCACCCCCTCACGTGCCGTGCCGGCCTTCATTGGTACTCGCTAACAGCACTTGCCCCAACAGTCTGTTCAGGCTATACGGAGGGATCCTTGTCTTTGTACCAGGCAGGGGAGGCAAAGCCTCACCTGTCATACTCCAATGAAAATAGCTGTTACGAAAAGTAAAAAAAAAACGAATAATCAAATAAAATAAATATTAATATTTTTCCACTGATCTGTGTTATAAATGTCATTTCTGTTCGATTCCAATCATTTTCATAGTTAAAATCGCCAAATGTGCGGAGCTCCACTGCAAATACAGGAAGAGACGAGAGGTGAGGCAGCGACGAGCTCAGCCTCCCTTCTGATTGCGCAACCCCTCAGTAACTGGATGTAGCACGGGCAATAAGCGCGTGCCTGTTACTATCTCAGTATGTCACCAATGTAATGTTTGTAGACCCCTTCATTTCATGTCCTCGCCTTCCATACTCCAGGTAACTTATTTCCCGTATGTGTATAAAGATATTTAGGCTCACTGGTCTCGTCATGAAATTGCAATGAAGAAGCACCAGGAGAGGCAGCTATCACATCTGCCTCACTGAGGGGGGATGTGCCACGCCCCCTCCGTGAGGCCACGCCTCCCTCAGTGTGTGAATCTGGCTCTGACACTAGCCAGTGCCTCCCCAGCCATTGACCTCACCGCACATCACTGCTTTGTACATGTGCGTGCCCGCTTGTGCGTGAGTGCAGCTCCCTGGAGCTGCACCACGTGTTCCCCGAGGAGGCCCACAGTGTGGCGCTGCACCCCTCGGGGCTGCAGGTGCTCGTCGGCTTCTCCGACAAGTTGCGGCTGCTCACGCTGCTGCTGCATGACGTGCGGCCACTGCGCGACTTCCCCGTGCGCGCCTGCAAGGAGGTGAGCGGTGGGGGGGGGGGTGGGAGGACGCCACCGCCGTCACTGTCCCCTCCCCGCGAGGACGGTCGGTTATGGCCAAGTCACCCGGAATGCGCCCGATCTCGTTGGGGCTCGCAGGCTAAGCAGGGTTGAGCCAGTCGTACGCACACTTGCGCACACCCATGTGAGCGACCGCGGTGGCGTTGTGGAACAACCCCGACCCTGTCTTACAGTGCTGCTTCAGTAACGGTGGACACCTGTTTGCTGCAGCCAATGGGAATGTCGTCCAGGTGTTCTCCAGCATCACATTTGAGAACGTTGCAAACCTCAAGGGGCACAGCGGAAAGGTACGGCACCCACAGCCATGGATGAAGCCCACGCAGGCACACGCACGATCACGCAAAGAAACCACGCACGTCCCCGAAACGTGGCTTAGCTTCGCACAGTTGCGCATGGACCTGCGCAGGCTCACAGGACCTCGCAAAAACCACACATAAGCACACACGAAGCTGCGCAAACCACACAAGCACACACGAAGCTGCGCAACCACACACAAGCACACGAAGCTGCACAAACCACACAACTACACACGAAGCGTGCAAACCATACAACCACACATGACCCTGTGCAAACCACACAACCACACACAGAGCTGCCAAACCACACAACCACACACACAAGCACACGACGCTACACAAACCACACAACCACACACGAAGCTGCACAAACCACACAACTACACACAGAGCTGCCAAACCACACAACCACACACACAAGCACACGACGCTACACAAACCACACAACCACACACGAAGCTGCACAAACCACACAACTACACACAGAGCTGCCAAACCACACAACCACACACACAAGCACACGACGCTACACAAACCACACAACCACACACGAAGCTGCACAAACCACACAACTACACACAAAAATACATGAAGCTGTGCAACCACACAACTACACACGAAGTTGCGAAAACCACACAACCACATATATTAGCTGTAGTATAGAGCCCTCACACTGCATCTCTTATAGGGTTCATAATGGCCATGTCAGAGAACCAAACCAGTAAGAATCTTAGCTTTAACCCAAGAACTGACTCAGCAAGGATGAGTACTTGGGTGATAGCTAGATTCTCATCCTTGCAGACTCAGTCCTGTGACACAGCCATTACGAACCCCATAAAATACACAGTCCTCTGGCTCTAACCCAGGATCTAAGTGATGTCAGCTCAGTCCTCTGACATGGCCATTATGAGCCCCCAAGCTACGTATCCCTGCTCTGCAAATGACACTTGCTTGTGTCCCCGTGGTGGTGGTGGTGTTGGGTGGCGGTACTGGGTGGTGGTGATGATGGCGCTGGGTGCTAGGTGGTGGTGGTGATGGGTGGCAGTGGTGGTGATGGGTGCTAGGTGGTGGTGACGGTGCTCGGTGGCAGTGATGATGGTGCCGAGTGTTGGATGGCGGTGGTGATGGTGCTGGGTGCCGGGTGGTGGTGTGTAAGGTGCGGGGATTGGCCTGGAGCGTGGATGATGCGCGCCTCGTGTCGTGCGGCCTCGACGGCGCTGTGTACGAGTGGAGCCCTCTGTCGGGGCGGCGCGACGCCGAGTGCGTGGTCAAGGCGTGCGCCTACACCGGCGTGGCGGTGGCGCCCGACGCGCGTGCTGCCGTCTACGCCGTGGGCTCCGACCGGACGCTCAAGGAGATCGCCGACTCCCAGGTGACGCCGCGCCACCCACACCTCTAGCCCAGGGCGTGGGGGGCCACGTAGCGAGCGCATGCCAGGGGGACGTGTGGCGTCACACGTCGTGATGTGACCGCGTCCGTATGCGTTCCTGCTCGCCCGCGGCTCTCATTTCCAAGTCTGTCTCTTTCTTATTCTTGGTTCTTTCGGTAAAGTCACGTAGAAGGGAAATAATGAAATGATAAATTGATAGCAACACAAGCAATGATCATCAGGTGTGAAAACCGAAAGAACCAAGAATATGAATCCCTGCAGTCACGAAAGCTTTAAATCGAAATTTGTCTCTTTCTTGTTTATCTCCATAATCTTCTCTCTCGTCTCAATCTGTCATCCCCATGGCTACTTGTTCCCACGTCCATGTGTGTTTTTCTTCCCACGTCCCCATGTTTACCTATCCCTGTATTCCACTATCTTCAAGTTCCCTTATCCCCATGCCCCACTATCCACCTGACCCCGCGTGCCCGCGGCCGGTAGGTTGTGCGAGAGGTGGAGTCGGACGGCGTACCTCTCACGGCGGTGCTCGTGCCGCGCTCGGGGCGCCTGCTGCTCGCCGGCACCGCGCTGGGGACGCTGCGCTCGCTGCGCTTCCCGCTCACATCCACGCCGGGAGACTGGGTCGAGTACCAGGGACACGCCGGAGCCATCACCAAGGTCTCCGCCGGGAGTTGTTGCGATGAATGACGGAGTGAGTGATGGAGAAGGTGTTGTGGTTGAGTGATGGAGTGAGCGTTGTGATGGAGAGGGTGTTGTGGCTGAGCCACGGAGTTCGTGTCCTGATGGAGAGGGTGTTGGTGTTTGTAGCGGTGCCGTGCTGCGTTCCGCGCGCCCTCTCACGCCGCGCGCGTCTGCAGATGCGCGTCACGCACGACGAGCAGTTTGTGGTGACGGTGGGCGAGGACGCGTGCGTGCTCGTGTGGCGCCTCACCGACAAGGAGGGCCGCAGCCTGCGGCGAGAGCGCGACGTCCCCTACTCCGACGAGATCCTCGTCACTAAGGCTGACCTGCAAGACAAGGTTTGCGTGCGCGTGTGCGAGCAAGTTGCCACAGGCGGTCCATCTGTCAGTCATCTGGGTCAGTCAACCCACATTACCTGCGTCCATCCCCGACCTCCTGCCGCCGGCTCGCAAACCTTTTCCACTTGATGTAGCCTCAAAGTCCATCTAGCCTGGCACAATCACTGTCTTGATGTCTTACCGCCACTCAATGGCGAATTATACCTGTTGTTGCGCGCACGCGTGTGTGTGCGTCTCTTAACACGCAACTCACTCGCCCGGTCGAGAGTGTTGCATGGACGTTAACGGGCGCGGCCACTAACGGGACTCGTGTGGGGGGCCGCTCGCAGGAGCAGGCCACGTTGGACCTGCGCGCGCGGCTGGAGGAAGTGCGGAGCGAGAGCGAGTACTCCCAGCGGCTGCGCGACATGACGTACCAGGAGAAAGTGCGCGAGCTCACCGACAAGTTCGTGCACGAGATGGAGGCGCTCAAGACCAAGAACCAGGTGCTGAAGGTGGAGCGCGAGCGGGACGCGGCGCGGCACACCCAGGAGCTCGCCGAGCTGGCGCAGAGGCATGCGCAGCAGCTGCACGACACCGGTACGAAACCGGGGCTGGGTGGGGAGGGTGGGGCTGGATGGGGAGGGGTGGGTGGGGAAGGGCTGGGTGGGGAGGGTGGGGAGGGGCTGGGTGGGGAGGGTGGGGAGGGACTGGGCGGGGAGGGTGGGGCTGGGTGGGGGGGTGGGGCTGGGTGGGGAGGGGCTGGTCACCCCGTGGTGCCCTTATAAACCTCAATGTTTAATCTACTCACGCCGGCTTGTGCCCGCCCTCACAGTCGGGCATATTTGCGGAATACACCACGCCGCCGTTGACCCTGGCCATTGACCGAGCAACCCAACGTTCCTACCAGCTCCCTCCGCAGGAGGAATGTGTTTAAATGCTGCATTACATATCCAGTATCCAGCACTCTGCACTGCACTTGGCACCCTGTATATATGTGTATGAGTCCAACTGAGTCGCAGACGTTGTCTTGGGAGCAACAAGTTTCATTAAACTCTTAGCACAACATACTCCAGGCTATTAACACAACATACTCCAGGCTATTAACACAACATACTCCAGGCTATTAACACAACAAACTCTCGGGTGGTGACCACCCAACTCACCATGCTACGGCGGAACTAGACACGGTTCCGCTATCTTGGTCCGGACCGTAAGCTGTGTCCCAGACCACGTGGCTGGAGGCTTCTTCAAGCTTGACGTGGATCTCCTGCCCTCCAACAGTAACAACCCCGAGCCCCTCACAAGGCCCCCCTTATATGGGGCCGGGCTGGGGCTGGCCGCGCCTCTCGCCCCGCCCACCTTCTCGATCTTTCCCGCCCTTGCCCGAAGGCTCTCGAGAGTTCTTCCCGGACCACGTGACCACCCATTAGCCCCCTCCACCGGTGGCCCCCCTCCAGTATCATCCGGTCACGTGTCCCCAGGTCAGCCAGAGTATCGTGCCCCCAACGTAACCCTAGCTGGCTGACACTCTCTTCCTCTCTCAAAAGGAGCCGGCACTGCACGTTGTGCGTGGCCATCGCACTTAACAAGCCCCGACTTGGGCTGGTACTACGCACAACAGTATACATCCTGCCGTGGACTCACAAGCCCGGCACCACACAGTGACATTCCCAGTCACTACGTATGTATCGGTGTATATGTATTCATATGTGCATCTGCAGCAAGTTGGCAGGTAGGGTGCACAGGTGGTGCGCATCTGCCGGTCATCTCAGTCAACCTATGGCACCTGGGTCTGTCCTGTGACCTCCTGCCAGCGATGACGTGACTGCCACTCGGTGGCGAACGGCAACTTTTGTTGTCGTTGCATCTGCATGCAGAGTCCGGTAACAGCCAGAAGCTGCTGCTGGAGTACGAGCGGCAGCAGGAGCTGCAGGTGCGCGCCCAGCGCATGCAGGACGAGTTCGAGCAGCAGCTGCAGGAGGCGGACGAGGCCCGGGAGCGCGCGTTGCGCTCTTCCGCACAGAACTACGAGCAGCAGCTCGCAGAGCAGCAGGAGCTGCTCAAGCAGGTGCCGCCCCCCACCCACCACCACCCACCACCACCCACCACCCACCACCACACAGCAGAGACACACCGGACCAGAGACACGTGGGTTGCGGGACGCAGGCCATGTGTTTATGCCCGAGTGTGTCTCTGAGTCTATGCAAGCCAGCCTGTGTGTGACTCCGTGTTTGTTTACATGTGAATATGTGTCCCTGTATGTGTCCCTGTGTGCGTGCAGGTGGAGGAGGCACGCCATCTGGAGCACCGCTCACACGAGGAGTCTCGCCGGCAGCTGGAGGAGGACGCCGACCGCGAGCTGCTGCTGTCGCGCACTGACCTGGAGAAGCAGCTCTACGCCCTGCGCGACGCCAACGCTCGCCTGCAGGGGGAGGCTGGCATCATGCGCAAGAAGGTACGGCTCCCAGCACCACCACCACCACCCCACAGGGAGTAGGGGAGACAGGGGTACACAGGGAGACAGGCACACGAGGACATGAGGGAAGGGGAGATGGTGATGTGAGCAGGCAGAGACACGGGGAGATGGGGACACGGGGAGACAGGGACACGGGGAGACAGGGAGATGGTGAAATGGACAGACGGGACGTGGGGATATGAGTATACGGGGACGCGGGAAGATGGGTGTATACCTGCGCTGTGTGCGTGCATGTGTGTGTGTGAACCTGTGTGCGTGCATGTGTGTGTGTGAACCTGTGTGCGCGTTGGCACAGTAGGGGGCACAGCTGGTGCATCTACCGGTCATCTCAGTCAGTCAACCCATGGCACCTGGGTCTGTCCCGCGAGCTCCTGTCAGCGAACGTTCGATACCTCACGGGGCCTCAAAGTGCACCTAGCCTGGCACAGGCGCCTTGGTGACATCACCGTAACTTAGTGCTGAATGACGGGCGTTGGTATTGGTGTCCGTATGAAGTTTGCCAGCCTGCAACGCGAGGCGGAGGAGCGGCAAAGCGAGGTGGAGCGCGTGCGGGCGGAGCAGACGCGTCTGGGCGGCGTGGTGCGTGCCCTGGAGCGTGACGTGCAGGCCCTCCGCAAGGAGGTGCAGGAGCGTGACGACACCATCCATGACAAGGTGAGACCCTCGTCACGGCAGGTAAGACCCGTTCGATACCCCTGCCGCGGCTGACGATGGTGGACGATATCCAAACCAGTTCTGGACCCCCCCCTCTTCACCAGCCTCCCCTAACCAGCATGGTGAAATATGGTCAAACAACTTCCACGACAAACCCACTCTGTGCTGCCATCCCGTGGCCACCTGGCTTGGGGATTTCACCATTTTACGCGAATCGCTAACCGTTAACTCTGTTGCATTGCTATAAGAATTTTGTTCGACAATTTCTCAAAAAATACGGTGACGATCTTGATTTGCAAAATTACACAGTTCAGAAAGGGACTCGTGCAGACCCTAGCGTGGAGCGTGGCGCGTGGTGTTGTATGCGGCAGAAACTTGGGACTCGTAGACATAAGAAGGCTCGAAAGCCTTTGAGATGTGGGTTGTGGCATCAAACGAATACTGGTTGGATCTAAGAGAAGAGAAATTAGGAAGTTCTAGAGGAGTTTCAGGAGGCGAGAGACATATAATCTTGAAAAGGTGAACGACATGGAGTTGGTGATTGCTCACAGGGTGAGAGCTTAGAGACAGAGGTACTGGCAGAAAGGATGTTGGGAAAGAGGCCAAGAGGCAGAAGGAGAGAGGTGCTGCTTGATGAATTGAAGGAAGGCATCCAGTGGAATGAAGAAGAGAGCTCATGATGTGGGAGGGGGGCCAAATGGAAGGAGTTTGAGACAAAGATCTATGGCCTGAAGAAGACTGTCGCGTGTCGGTCACGGAGCAGCCATCGGAAGCGCTGGGTCACTGGCGCGCGTCCCGCCACGCACCGCACCACGTGACCCGGGCCACGAGCTAACCCCGTGACGCCCCCCGCCCCCCATGCAGGAGAAGCGAATCCACGAGCTGAAGAAGAAGAACCAGGAGCTGGAGAAGTTCCGCTTTGTGCTCGACTACAAGATCAAGGAGCTCAAGCGGCAGATGGAGCCTCGGGAGCAGGCGCTCAGCATGGCCCGCACACACACACAGCAGGTGCTCATACACAGCTGTACACACACAGCAGGTGTACACACACACAGCTGTACACACACACAAGATGTACACACACAGCAGGTGTACACACACACACACAAGATGTACACACACACACACAGCAGGTGCTCATACACAGCTGATTTACACACACACAAGATGTACACACACACACACACAGCAGGTGCTCATACACAGCTGTACACACACACAAGATGTACACACACACACAGCAGGTGCTCATACACAGCTGATTTAAACACACACAAGATGTACACACACACACACAGCAGGTGGACACACACACAGCTGTACACACACACAAGATGTACACACACACACACAGCAGGTGCTCATACACAGCTGTACACACACACAAGATGTACACACACACACACATATAGCAGGCGCTCAGCACACCCCATATACACACACAGCAGGTGCACATGTACACCAGTTGAATATACCTGGGCGTAGTGACGCAGATCTGTAATTCACCGCTGTGATTTATACAAATCTGGTGTATATGTCTGTGTCGTGTATATACCATGTGTGGTGTTTGGTGCGTGTGGCGTATGTGCCGTGCCTGTGGTGTGTGGCGTATCTCATGTGTGTGGCGTGTTTGGTGTCCTGTGATCTGCCTGGAGATGGAGACGGAGTTGGAGAGGTTCCAGAAGCAGGTGTCCCAGCTGGAGCTCGCAGTGGCCGACACGCGGAGCAAGATGCAGGCTGCCGAACGGCAGACGGCACGCGAGCGAGACCGGGTACCACATCAATCCATGCGCACACCGCACTGTCCGCAGTACACTCCACACTGTCACAGGGTCAGGTGGCTGCGACTCTGTTTGTGCCAATGGAGCATCTTTACTCATCACCATACACTTACCATCGACCTTAACAATCACCATACCCTTGACTATAGACCCATCACCGTGTCCTTACTTTTTACCTCGCCTTTAACAATGATCCCATTCATCTGCGTTCCCTTGCCTTTGACCCTCCTCATCATCACATCCATACCGTTGAGTGCACGTGCCTGTGACCCTGCCACCCGCGTGGCATGTGCAAGTCCGTGCATGTGTGCGCGTGTGTACGCGTGTGTGCGCGTGTGTACGCGTGTGTACGCGTGTGTGCGCGTGTGTGCGCGTGTGTGCACGTACACATGCATTCGATTCCCGCTCACGGCTAACACCAGTGACGATTATCTGAACCAGCCCTGGGCCTTCCCTCGGTCTCAAATGAGTACCTGGTGCAGTGTGTAAACATCGCCACTGGGGAGACAAAGGCGGTCGGGCGTGGTGCTGGCCACCCACCCCCTTGTGTACCGTTCTGGCCTTCATAGGTGCTCACTAACAGTACTTGCCCCTACAGTCTGTCAATGCTATACGGGGGGGGTCTTTGTTTTTGTCTTTGTACACGTGTGTGTAGGTGCGGGAGGTGGAGGCGCTGGTGAAGCGCTTCAAGACCGACCTGCACGGCATCGCCGGCCTCATCCAGGAGCCCCGGCAACTCAAGGAGGCGGTGACGCAATTGTACCACCGCTACGTGCAGCTCGCCGACGCGGTGAGGGCAATCATAACGACCATCACTACATGCAGCATGTCGTGTGTTATAGTATGGGCTGTGATGTCTGGTGCCCCATTGAATTATGTTCAGCTGCGTGTGTTATAGTATGCTGCACGTTAGTGTTATGTTATAGTGTGCAGTGTATTAGTGTGTTGTCTTTTAGTGTCCAGTGTGTTGTAGTGTGTTTAGTATAACTACTGTATCCTGTGTCGTGTGTTATAGTCTACAGTGTTAGCGTGCAGTGTGTTGTGTGCTACGTGAACACATTCCTGCGGAGGGAGCTGGTAGGAACGTTGGGTTGCTCGGTCAATGGCCAGGGTCAACGGCGGCGTGGTGTATTCCGCAAATATGGCCGACTGTGAGGGCGGGCACAAGCCGGCGTGAGTAGGTTAAACGTTGATTTTTATAAGGACATCACGGGGTGACCAGCCCCTCCCCACCCAGCCCCACCCCTCCCACCCCCCACCCAGCCCCACTCTCCCCACCCAGCCCCTCCCCACTCCCCACCCAGCCCCTCCCCACCCAGCCCCACCCCTCCCATTTTTGGATGCACGACGGACGGACGGACACAATAATCCCCTGTGGGCTAGTGAAACCAGGTGGTTCCTACCAGTATACCTTCCAGTGTGTTGTCGTGCATTGTGTTCGTAGTGCGAGTGTGCGGTGCATTGTAGTGTGCCGGTGTGGTTGTCACGACACGTTGTGGCATGCTGCCAGTGGGTCACTGCGTCCGTGCCGCGTTCCGCTGCAGAAGGAGATCCGGGGAGAGGACGCGGACGTGCAGCGAGAGTTTGCCCGGCAGAAGGACCACCTGGAGCGGAGCGTCGCGTCGCTTCGAAAACAACTGAGCTCCGACACGGAGTCTCACCGCAGCGAGAACGCCCGCATCATACAGGTACCACGCGCACCACCACAGGTACCATACACCCCACCATATACAGGCACCATGCGCACCACCACAGGTACCGTACACATCACTACATACAGGCACCACTCCCAGCACCACAGGTACTGTACACACCACTACATACAGAGACCATGCACACCACCACAGGAACAGTACACCCCACCACATACAGGCACCACACCCATCACCACAGGTACCATACACACCACCACAGGAACCGTACACCGCTCTAAATCTGGCACCATACCCACCACGTGCACCACTGTGTATAGCTATGTGCGTGTAGCTGTGGGTCGCTATGTGCGTGTTTGTTGGTGCTGCAGGAGAATGTAACACTGGTCCGAGAGGTGTGCGACCTGCGTAAGGAGCTCCGCAACATCCGCACGCACGTCCACCAGCTGGAGCTCAGCGCCAAGAGGAACCGGCCCCGACCAGGTGCGTGCTCCCCACGCGCGGCACGACACGCAGCGCTCACTGCCCCGGTGCAGTTACACCGCCTCTGCGCTTGATTGCTATGCCACTTCTTTCTACTGCCTCCTAAAATTGTCATCACCAGGGCCGGGCTTCAAAGCTTTTGCAAATCCTTTTGGGCGTCAAGTGCTGTGGTGTTCATTCATTCGGTGCCCACAATGCCGACCCTGCCTCCATTGTCTTTTGGAATCTCCACCAATCAGAAAGCTCGATGGAGATTGGCAAGGGGCAGGGGGCGGAGCCCAGCACAGACCACGTGATCGAGCTCCAGCGAATGGAGATCCGGCGACTCCGTGAGCAGCTGCACCAGCGTCCGCAGTCAGGGTCTCGCCTCCCTGCCATCACCGCCTAGACCACAGTCACCCCCCACGTCACCTCCTACTGTCCCGTCCTCCCATCACCGCCCCATCCTCCCATCATCACACCATCTCCCATCACCGCCTAGACCACAGTCACCCCCCACGTCAACTACGACCGCCCCATCCTCCCATCATCACACCATCTCCCATCACCGCCTAGACCACAGTCACCCCCCCCACGTCACCTCCTACCGTCCCGTCCTCCCCTCACCGCCCCATCCTCCCATCATCACACCATCTCCCATCACCGCCTAGACCACAGTCACCCCCCCACGTCACCTCCTACCGTCCCGTCCTCCCATCACCGCCCTATCCTCCCATCACCAGCTAGGCCCAACCGCACCATCCATCAGTGACCCACCTCCCATTAGAGCCTAGAGCAGCCATCACTGCCTCATCTTCCATCCCCTCCCAATCGTCATCGAAACCTGGAACCGCCCGCATCTCCCATCACCGCTCCACCTCCAAACACTGCCGAGAGCAGCCCACATCACCCGCCGCCAGCTCATCACACATTAATGCCCTCCCCATCAGTTCCATCACCCATCGCCACCTTGTCCAGCTTACATCACCTATCACATAATCATCATCGATGACAAACCCCCCCCCCCCCCCCCATGGGCTCTGGCAGGAGTGCTCCATCTCATCCCCCGCTATCATCACTGTACCTGCGAATCTCGTGTACACGTGCCTGTGTCGCTGCTGCATACCTGTCAACCCATATGGTTTACCCGTATTCTTGTACAGGGAAATTGTGTCTATTTGTTTCTCTCTTGTGATGGGACTTTGTGATCGTTGAGATTCATAAGGGCACGGGATGACCAATAAGGTCTGAATTGGTCTGTAATACGGTAGGCACTGATAAGGGATTGACAGGCATACTGCTGTGACTAAGGATGGATGGGTAATGATCAAAAATAACATTTTCTGCAGGAAAACTTGAGTACAGTAAGTAGGGCACAGATGGCTCATTCCACGTTTTGTGAATTAAACTTTATTGCAATCGTAATTTGAGTGAATAAACACATTACACAAGCTTTGCCATTGATATCTTTACCTCAAGCGTCACTAAATCTCGAGGTATTTTTCAGGAGGGGGCGCGGGTTCCTACTTGGGGAACCAGAAGGGAAACAGAGTTTGTGATCAACCCAAGCTCGAGCGCCTGTGTGGAGTTTGTAGTTCTCATCGCGTTGCTCTGCATGGGTGTCCCTCCCCAAGGCGAGAAACCCACACAGTGCAACCCGTATCGCTGGCACAGTGGTAACACTCGTGCCTCACAGTAACAAGAGCCTGGGTTCGATCCCGGACTCCAGCGCATTTCTGCCTGGAGTCTGTAGCTCTCCCCCTGTTATGCAAGGGTCTCCAGATATTCCCACAATTAAAACAATACAACCTAAGTGCTATTGGTCTTCTTGGTTCTTTCGGTAAAGTCACGTAGAATTGTATTGAATTTTTATTATTTTATTATTTCCCTTCTACGTGACTTTACCGAAAGAACCGAGAAGATGAATCCCTGTAGTCACGAAAGCTGTAAATTGAAATTTAAAGTGATATTGGCTCAATGGTGAAAAATTACTTGAAATTTACTCGATTGGGATTTCACAGTAGCATCGCCCCCCCCCCCCCCGCCCACGACTGCGAAAGCTTGGCAGGAACCTCCTGAAAATAAGTCTCGAGACTCACCGAGGCTTTCCTGGGTAAACGAGCGGAATAAGAGGGATAGTCGTCACGTCAAAGGCAGCTCTTCACTCGACGCATGCGCTTGGTGGTCCCTGGTCATTCTTGACATGGCAGCTCGCCAACGCAAGTCAGCCATCCGATACGGTTTACAAATGGGTAATTACACAAATTAGGGCACCACTTTAGAACAATCCCAACAATGCACGAGGTAACAATTTGAAGGCAATTATTTACATGTTTTAGAAAATATGGCTTATTGATGGATAAGTCAATTGTCTGATGGACACACAAAATTTAATGCACCACCACGATCGTGGAGGTCTGCTGGCACAAGAGGGACTTCAGGAGCCAGACAGGTCGTGTCGCATTGATATTCCTCCTCCTCCGTTGAAGGAGCCCAGGACGAGAGGGCGTTTTACTTCATGGTCCAAAGGCCATGATTACACAAAGGATTATCCACGTCTTTAAAAAGTGTCTAAAATGTACGCCCGAAATTGTGGACCTGCCAAACCATGATCACTCGGCGCTGGGCCTAGGACACAATGAGAAAGACATGAGTGGTGGTGCACGTACAACGGCTGTGAATGCCCATGGCCTGACCCGAACTCTTAGTTGTTTAACATATATCTTTTAGATTTGTTGAGCACAGGCCCACAAACGCGAAGCGGCCAGCAACAAAGAGCAAGAGTATCAAAGATGTAAAATATAATTGACAAGCTTCTTAAAGTGAGCAAGATTGTTATCAAGAGCTTGGGAAAAGAGATGACGATGATGGGAGAGGGAATTCCGAAGTGGTGCAGTGTGAGGGCTGAAGCAGAAAGAGAAGCGAGGTGACCTGCAGTGTAGTGGGTGGTGAGTGTTGTTTGGACACTGCAGTCTTTGGTCAAAAGTCAACTCAGCCCATCATCCCTATGGGGTCAATAAAGCCGACAGTGGCTTGTCCTACGGACACCCCCTCGCCCCTGCCACGTGGACATTGCACCACCGGCTCAGGGCAGTGGCCAGGAGACGGGCACCGCACCAGGCTCGTTTGAGTTCTAACTGCGTCGAAGGTGACTTGAAGATCGGTGGCAAGTGGGATACAGAGGCGGAGGTGGGGGGGGTGCCCGGCCGTGGGTGGTGACAGCGATTTGGTGCCGAGCGGCGTGTGGAGGGGGGGGGCGCCCGGGAAACCCGAGACCCTGGCTCCTCGCGGAGTCACCTGTGTGGAGAACAGGGAGCCTCTGTGTCGCCGCATTCCTCCCGCTGCGTCTCGCCCGATCGGGTGTCCCCTCCCCCCTCCTGCCGCTGCCCTCCGTCAGACACACGGCTGAAGGGTACTTAACCAGCTTTAACAGGCCACACACGAGTCAACAATAATGTGGTTTTGATACAGCGCCCAGGACGCTGGGGCTTCTGGGAGCACTTTACATTGCATCTCATCTCAAACAATTGAGAAAGGGAACACTCCCCCCAGCGGCAGCTGTCCCTGTGGGCACAATGAGACTCAGCACCTGGCCTGAGAGCAGATATCAGTCTGGCAGTGAGGGAGCAATGTTTGCCATGTATAAGTCCCATTTGAGTCATTTCTGAATAAGCCAAAATTTAGACCGTAACGCCAGCACACGATGGCCTACGCTTGCGAACGGCATCAGGGAATCTTTTTAACGCCAACTGCGAGTGAAGCAGACGCCGAGTAGCTTTACCATGTTTAATTAACCGCCGCCACAATCATAACCAGGGTGGCCGTTGGGTTCGAACCGTGAACCTCTGCAATGAGCGGCGAATGCGCAACTGCTGGGCCGCGTCGCCGGCCAACACTAAACTTGGATCACACAAGGCCTATACGTGTGGACTACCCAGCACTACTGGAAAGACAACTATTGGCCGAGCGTGCTAACATTAGAAACAAGTGTTTCAAGATTTAAAAAATGGTCCCTTGTCAAGATTTAGGATTGCCGGGTCACCGTGGCGACCGGCACTCCTCATCGCCGCCGCTCTCCACCCTCCGCCAGACCGTACAGCTGCTGCACAGGAAACACGCGAGAGCCCAACAGTCTCCTGTCACCGTCCACTCCGTAGGTCTTGCCCTCGGTCGCCGGACTCGTGGGGACCTCTCAATGCTGGTCTCAGGCCCTCCCGCCATCCTGCACAGCTCTGCCGATATTTGCCGAATAATTTCTACAGTCTGATGAGCACAGGATTGCATAGTGCAATCTTTGGTTTTAAGTCAAATCTCACCTATTCTCCAGTACGCCGCAGATCAAACCATGTGTCCTAGGACATCTGGGACAGTCGGTTTCCCTTCGGTGAACGGCCCCGCTCAATGTTTCACTCGAGCTCGACGATTGACAGGGAATTGTCGACGTTGGCGTCGAGCACAAACAAGTCATAGAGGCCGAACGCCGGCAGGAGGGGACGGGTGAATTTGTGGTGAAAGGTGTGGAGCGGTTCCGTCATCCCGGCACTGTAGAACGACAGGAGCCCCCCATCGAAGTCCACGTAGACCCCGACCCTACGGAGAGAGCCCCCCGCCCCCCCACTTACTCTCGTCACCGGGAACTCCATCCCCCTGCGCTGGGCCGTCACCTCGTTCCCGCGTATGTACAGGCCCCACGAGGTGCCGTTGTGACCCAGCCAGCACTCCTCCCCGTGACCCTTGCGCGCTATCGACCCGTAAGCCACCCCCACGCAGCACCAGCCGGCAGAGCTCACGTCCACCTCCCAGTACCCTCGCCCCGACGAGACGCCCTCGGAGCCCAGCGCTTGGTACCAGCCGTCAAAACGGTCCGGGTGGTCGGCGAGATGCTGCTGCGCAGGCCAGGTGATGCGCACCGTCAGGCGGTCGCCGGAGATGCGCAGGCGAGGGTGGGCCGAGTTGGGGTTGAGGGTCGGCGTGTGGCTGTCTGCAGGTTAAGAACGCAACACGCGGCGATGATGACAACAGTCGGGGTGCGATTTCAGGGTGAATTCCATGGCTCTGCACTTCATTTTATCCCCGGGACTGCACTATCACCAATCACCTCCAGGGTAGGACAAACATTTCTTAACGTTTCCCAGCCCTCTGATAAATTTTCTCCCCGACAGTAAACATAAACTATGCACATTACATATTCTAAATGTATTATTATGAATTTTATTAAATACGTAACCACTTTAATGTACATGAGTTGTGCGCTGTGACGTACAGCTGCAAACCAGCTCCGCGTAGCTGGGTCCGCTTGGTGTCGCTTGTCCGAAAAACATGCGGTGCAGGAAACCGAACAGATTCCAGTCTTCCGTCTCTTTCGTACGCGTCGTGGTATTGCTCGGGGGCTGCGGAGGTCTCACTTCCTCCGCGCGGTCATCAGAGTCAGCCTGGGTGGCTGTGAATAGAGACAGTGATACTGTCACTCTGCGTGACTGTGAATTGGGGTGGTGATGAGGCTGTCACCCTGCGTGGTTGTGAATGGAGGTGGTGATGACGCTGTCACCCTGCGTGACTGTGAATGGAGGTGGTGATGACGCTGTCACCCTGCGTGACTGTGAATGGAGGTGGTGATGACGCTGTCACCCTGCGTGAATGTGAATGGAGGTGGTGGTGACGCTGTCACCCTGCGTGAATGTGAATGGAGGTGGTGATGAGGCTGTCACCCTGCGTGAATGTGAATGGAGGTGGTGGTGACGCTGTCACCCTGTGTGACTGTGAATGGAGGTGGTGATGAGGCTGTCACCCTGCGTGAATGTGAATGGAGGTAGTGATGAGGCTGTCACCCTGCGTGACTGTGAATGGAGGTGGTGATGAGGCTGTCACCCTGCGTGGCTGTGAATGGAGGTGGTGATGACGCTGTCACCCTGTGTGGCTGTGAATGGAGGTTGGTGATGACGCTGTCACCCTGCGTGACTGTGAATGGAGGTGGTGATGAGGCTGTCACCCTGCGTGGCTGTGAATGGAGGTGGTGATGACGCTGTCACCCTGTGTGGCTGTGAATGGAGGTGGTGATGAGGCTGTCGCCCTGCGTGGCTGTGAATGGAGGTGGTGATGACGCTGTCACCCTGCGTGGCTGTGAATGGAGGTGGTGATGAGGCTGTCACCCTGCGTGGCTGTGAATGGAGGTTGGTGATGACGCTGTCACCCTGCGTGGGTGTGAATGGAGGTGGTGATGACGCTGTCACCCTGTGTGGCTGTGAATGGAGGTGGTGGTGACGCTGTCACCCTGCGTGGCTGTGAATGGAGGTGGTGATGACGCTGTCACCCTGCGTGACTGTGAATGGAGGTGGTGATGACGCTGTCACCCTGTGTGGCTGTGAATGGAGGTGGTGATGACGCTGTCACCCTGCGTGGCTGTGAATGGAGGTGGTGATGACGCTGTCACCCTGCGTGGCTGTGAATGGAGGTGGTGATGAGGCTGTCACCCTGTGTGACTGTGAATGGAGGTGGTGATGATGCTGTCACCCTGCGTGGCTGTGAATGGAGGTGGTGATGATGCTGTCACCCTGCGTGGCTGTGAATGGAGGTGGTGATGACGCTGTCACCCTGCGTGGCTGTGAATGGGGTTGGTGATGACGCTGTCACCCTGCGTGGCTGTGAATGGAGGTGGTGATGACGCTGTCACCCTGCGTGGCTGTGAATGGAGGGTGGTGATGAGGCTGTCAGCCTGCGTGGCTGTGAATGGAGGGTGGTGATGAGGCTGTCAGCCTGCGTGGCTGTGAATGGAGGGTGGTGGTGACGCTGTCACCCTGCGTGGCTGTGAATGGAGGTGGTGATGACGCTGTCACCCTGCGTGGCTGTGAATGGAGGTGGTGATGACGCTGTCACCCTGCGTGGCTGTGAATGGAGGTGGTGATGATGCTGTCACCCTGCGTGGCTGTGAATGGAGGTGGTGATGAGGCTGTCACCCTGCGTGGCTGTGAATGGAGGTGGTGATGACGCTGTCACCCTGCGTGGCTGTGAATGGAGGTGGTGATGACGCTGTCACCCTGCGTGACTGTGAATGGAGGTGGTGATGACGCTGTCACCCTGCGTGGGTGTGAATGGAGGTGGTGATGACGCTGCCACCCTGCGTGGGTGTGAATGGAGGTGGTGATGACGCTGTCACCCTGCGTGGGTGTGAATGGAGGTGGTGATGAGGCTGTCACCCTGCGTGGCTGTGAATGGAGGTGGTGATGACGCTGTCACCCTGCGTGGGTGTGAATGGAGGTGGTGATGAGGCTGTCACCCTGCGTGACTGTGAATGGAGGTGGTGATGAGGCTGTCACCCTGCGTGACTGTGAATGGAGGTGGTGATGACGCTGTCACCCTGCGTGACTGTGAATGTAGGTGGTGATGACGCTGTCACCCTGCGTGGCTGTGAATGGAGGTGGTGATGACGCTGTCACCCTGCGTGGCTGTGAATGGAGGTGGTGATGACGCTGTCACCCTGCGTGGCTGTGAATGGAGGTGGTGATGATGCTGTCACCCTGCGTGGTTGTGAATGGAGGTGGTGATGACGCTGTCACCCTGCGTGGTTGTGAATGGAGGTGGTGATGAGGCTGTCACCCTGCGTGACTGTGAGTGGAGCTGGTGATGAGGCTGTCACCCTGCGTGACTGTGAATGGAGGTGGTGATGAGGCTGTCACCCTGCGTGACTGTGAATGGAGGTGGTGATGACGCTGTCACCCTGCGTGGTTGTGAATGGAGGTGGTGATGAGGCTGTCACCCTGCGTGACTGTGAATGGAGGTGGTGATGAGGCTGTCACCCTGCGTGACTGTGAATGGAGGTGGTGATGAGGCTGTCACCCTGCGTGGTTGTGAATGGAGGTGGTGATGACGCTGTCACCCTGCGTGGTTGTGAATGGAGGTGGTGATGACGCTGTCACCCTGCGTGACTGTGAATGGAGGTGGTGATGACGCTGTCACCCTGCGTGACTGTGAATGAAGGCGGTGATGACGCTGTTACCCTGCGTGGCCGTGAATGGAGGCAGAATTGATTCTTCAGCGTCAGGTCCTCCTCCTGTGGGAGGCTGGGGTTTTCCGTGGGCGAACAAGCGGAGCAGCTCGTCCACTCGCTCCTGCAAAGGGGCCGCGGTCACAGAGCCCAGCACCGGGCTGGGTGGGAGCTCCGCGCATTCACTCCCCAAGCTCGTGAAGCTGCACGGCAACGGCACACATCGGTGATGGAACGAAGAAGAAAATTTACACGCATACGCATGGATTCTGTAACGCTTGAAACGATTGGAAGTGTTCGATTAAGCTGTGGTAACGTTACGTTTCAAGCCACACGAGATGATATCAAATGTAATGACATGACCAGAAACGGGAGGGGGTGCAGGGTCGGGAGCACGTTCCTCGGCCATGACCAAAAATCCTTTTACTACTGCTTTTTTGGCAGCCCTCTAAACAATGTTGTCAGTTTTCTACAGGGAAAGTCCGTAATCCTCTCTGCTACGGACAGACACATGGACATAGGTAAAGCATTAACATTTTTAAACCTTGGTCGGAAAGCGTAAAAGATCCGGCATTGACAAAATACGATCTTGTAAAATGAATTCACCCATGCAGAAGTCGAGTAACGGAAGAATGTGGGACCTACCTTTCCCAGTTTAGAATGCAGCCCTGGAACACACGCACACACACACACATATAACAGCCTTAATTGAAGTAAACGTGTTGTTTGTGTGAGGCGGGCAAACACATGCGGGGCAAATTTTAGAGCAAAGCGGTCGCCTTGCCACCCGCACTTCACTTGAGCTGCGCGCGTGCGACGCTGTTTACACGCGCGAGCTTCGTACGACATCTCAAATCTAGCGCGGGATAATACGCACGGAAATACTGCCGCACGGCTCGAGTTCACGAGCAACGACGCACGCGTGGTGAAGGAGTGGGGTCATGTGACCCTCGGGGTCAACGATGTATCACAACTTTAGACGAAAGTTTTGTCCGTATTGGATCTTTACGATACGGGTCGTATCGCCATTATCATTGCCGATAAAGTTTTCAGTATCATCCGTTTACCGTAGGCCTCAGGTTGTACATGTCCTCGTATATAAGAGGATCGCCACATAACGGCAACCCAGCGCATAGCAAGGCAGGCGCAGCAGCAAAGCGAGCTGATCGCAATCGTAAGGCTGTGATTTCAAATCCTGGTTGGCGGTTCGCTCAGCCCATCACCATCCCTCCCTCCCGGGTTGATAAATTCAGTAGCACTTTGCGGGGAGGTCAACAGTGGATGTCTTATGGACAGACTCGTCCCCGACCACAGGGAAGTGGAATGTGCACTGCTGTCTCTGCAGCGTCGTGAACAGGAAAAAGAGCACTGCCCTCCCCGACGCTCACTTGAGCGGGAAAGTCACCGTTGACTTTATTGGACCAGCGGGCACACGGCACACACAGGGAGCTTGGGACTGAAGCGACTCCGCTCGGGGCGTCCGCACCTCGAGGAAAGCCACGTGCTCCCGCGTGTCGTCCAGGCTGTAGATGGCGCTCAGCGCCTCCTGCAGTCTGCCCAGTGTCTCGCTGCAGCGCTCCACCTGCTCGTGGATCTCAGAGAGCTGGGACCGGCACTCCTCGTCCACGGATCTCATCGCTGCCGCCTTCTCCTTGGAGATCAAACGCAGGAGCTCGTCGTAGCCGCCCATCAGTCGCGCCTTCACCTCCTCCGCGGCTCCCTGGGAGGAGGGTTGAGGGCGTCGTCATTGTGGACTCGGCTCCACCACTAGCCAATCAGATACTCGTACTAGCTCTACCCTTAACATTAACAAACTATCTTCTTGGTTCTTTCGGTAAAGTCACGTAGAAGGAAAATAATAAAAGAATAAAAATAAAATATTATAAAATAATGTTTTATTTTTATTATTTTATTATTTTCCTTCTACGTGACTTTACCGAAAGAACCAAGAAGATGAATCCTTGCAGTCACGAAAGCTTTAAATCGAAACCTAACAAACTAGCTAACCAGACACTCGTACTAGCTCTACCCCCAACCAACTCGTCAACCACACTCGTACTGGCTCTACCCCTAACCAATCAAACACTCATACGAGCTCTATCCCTACCCCTAACTAGTCAACCATTCAACTAGCTCTACCCCTCAGCAACTAGCCAACTGGACACTAGTTCTCGCTCTACCATTACCAACTAGACAAGCAAGTCATTTTATCCAAGTACGTCCATTTCTCCCATTTCTCCCTTATCAAGAGGCCAATTCACGATTCCCCACATTCACGATACCCCACATCCTTCAAAGCGTCCCAAATGCGAGTCTGACACGGTGCAGGCGTCCGACGGGGAGTTCTCACCAACACCGAGTGAATGGTTCCCTCCAGGATGCTCATTATGGAGGTCTTTTTCCGTTCTTCCTCCTGCAGCCTTTGCTTGAAATGGTCGAGTTGCTCCTGAAAGGAGAGCGATAACCTTTTTTGATACTGGCACATTCCGAGTCAGCGCGAGTGGTTTTCCCACTCGCTATGTTCCGTGCGGGAACCAAACCGCGCTACGCTGGCCTCGCAAGACGTCTCAAGCCGGCTCGGGGCCAAGCAGGGCCGAGGGCGGGGCTCATGACACGTCCACTGTGTGTGACGTCGGTCGGTGCATTGGCAGGACTGTGTGTTACCACATCTATGAGCATTTCGATTCAGTCCCACTGCGTGTAACATCAGCGGCATGGCTCTGGTTCTGCAGTAGAAAAACCTGGCGCCTACTGAGCTGTGCCTTGGCTGGCTCGGCCCGGCCCCCGCGTGGCTCGGTTGTGCAGTGGAAAGAAGTGTAAGATGATACACTGGGATTGAACTGGTGTATAACGCCCACCAGTAGTCCACATGCTTCCTGCATTGGCACTGATCCCTGCGCAGGAACACTGCGTGTATCGTTGCGTAAATCACTGCTTGAACGCTGCTATTCACTTTTATAAATGTAAACACTCATACTGGGTATACCCTTAACCCTAACCGACCAGCCAACCGACCACTATCTCTTATTTTATATTTAGAGAGAGTTTAAACGTGATTTAGATGGCAGGGGCGTGCAATGGTTGAGGAATGGGTGCCTGTAACACAGGGCACGTGGGGTCACAAAGGGGCTATCGGACAGAGTGGAGGGGTGAGGGAAGGAAAGAAGAATGGATTGGGCGGTGGAGAAGAGGTTAACGTCCAGGGGAAGTTTACCCCAGCGGTAGGGTGCGAGGAGGGAGAAAGATGGAAAACGTGATTGGGCACGGGGAGAAGGGGGGACAGAGAGAGAGACAACCACCAGTAGCGGCTCTATCCCTAACCCCACCCCACTATCGACCCAGCCGCCTCACTATCGACCCAGCCGCCTCACTATCGACCCAGCCGCCTCACTATCGACCCAGCCACCCCACTATCGACCCAGCCACCCCACTATCGACCCAGCCACCCACTATCGACCCAGCCACCCCACTATCGACCCAGCCACCCCACTATCGACCCAGCCACCCCACTATCGACCCAGCCACCCCACTATCGACCCAGCCACCCACTATCGACCCAGCCACCCCACTATCGACCCAGCCACCCCACTATCGACCCAGCCACCCCACTATCGACCCAGCCACCCCACTATCGACCCAGCCACCCCACTATCGACCCAGCCACCCCACTATCGACCCAGCCACCCACTATCGACCCAGCCACCCACTATCGACCCAGCCACCCCACTATCGACCCAGCCACCTCACTATCGACCCAGCCACCCACTATCGACCCAGCCACCCACTATCGACCCAGCCACCTCACTATCGACCCAGCCACCCACTATCGACCCAGCCCCCACTATCGACCCAGCCACCCCACTATCGACCCAGCCACCCCACTATCGACCCAGCCACCCACTATCGACCCAGCCACCTCACTATCGACCCAGCCACCCCACTATCGACCCAGCCACCTCACTATCGACCCAGCCACCCCACTATCGACCCAGCCACCTCACTATCGACCCAGCCACCCACTATCGACCCAGCCACCCACTATCGACCCAGCCACCCCACTATCGACCCAGCCACCCCACTATCGACCCAGCCACTCCACTATCGACCCAGCCACCCCACTATCGACCCAGCCACCCCACTATCGACCCAGCCACCCCACTATCGACCCAGCCACCCCACTATCGACCCAGCCACCCCACTATCGACCCAGCCACCCCACTATCGACCCAGCCCTAGACCAACCCCACTATCTGACCCAGCACCCACTATAGACCAGCCTCCACTATCGACCCAGCCACCCCACTATCGACCCCAGCCACCCACTATCGACCCAGCACCCCACTACGACCCGCCACCCCCACTATCGACCCAGCCACTCCACTATCGACCCAGCCACCCCACTATCGACCCAGCCACCCACTATCGACCCAGCCACCCCACTATCGACCCAGCCACCCCACTATCGACCCAGCCACCCCACTATCGACCCAGCACCCACTATCGACCAGCCACCCCACTATCGACCCAGCCACCCACTATCGACCCAGCCCACCCACTATAGACCCAGCCACCCCACTATCGACCCAGCCACCTCACTATCGACCCAGCCCCCTATCGACCACTATCGACCCAGCCACCCACTATCGACCCAGCCACCCACTATCGACCCAGCCACCCCACTATCGACCCAGCCACCCCACTATCGACCCAGCCACCCCACTATCGACCCAGCCACCCCACTATCGACCCAGCCACCCCACTTTCGACCCAGCCACCCACTATCGACCCAGCCACCCCACTATCGACCCAGCCACCCCACTATCGACCCAGCCACCCACTATCGACCCAGCCACCCACTATCGACCCAGCCACCCACTATCGACCCAGCCACCCCACTATCGACCCAGCCACCCCACTATCGACCCAGCCACCCCACTATCGACCCAGCCACCCCACTATCGACCCAGCCACCCCACTATCGACCCAGCCACCCACTATCGACCCAGCCACCCCACTATCGACCCAGCCACCCCACTATCGACCCAGCCACCCACTATCGACCCAGCCACCCCACTATCGACCCAGCCACCCCACTATCGACCCAGCCACCCCACTATCGACCCAGCCACCCCCTATCGACCCAGCCACCCACTATCGACCCAGCCACCCCACTATCGACCCAGCCACCCCACTATCGACCCAGCCACCCACTATCGACCCAGCCACCCCACTATCGACCCAGCCACCCCACTATCGACCCAGCCACCTCACTATCGACCCAGCCACCCACTATCGACCCAGCCACCCCACTATCGACCCAGCCACCCCACTATCGACCCAGCCACCCCACTATCGACCCAGCCACCCACTATCGACCCAGCCACCCCACTATCGACCCAGCCACCCCACTATCGACCCAGCCACCCCACTATCGACCCAGCCACCCCACTATCGACCCAGCCACCCCACTATCGACCCAGCCACCCCACTATCGACCCAGCCACCCCACTATCGACCCAGCCACCCACTATCGACCCAGCCACCCCACTATCGACCCAGCCACCCCACTATCGACCCAGCCACCCCACTATCGACCCAGCCACCCCACTATCGACCCAGCCACCCCACTATCGACCCAGCCACTCCACTATCGACCCAGCCACCCCACTATCGACCCAGCCACCCCACTATCGACCCAGCCACCCCACTATCGACCCAGCCACCCCACTATCGACCCAGCCACCCACTATCGACCCAGCCACCCCACTATCGACCCAGCCACCCACTATCGACCCAGCCACCCCACTATCGACCCAGCCACCCACTATCGACCCAGCCACCCACTATCGACCCAGCCACCCACTATCGACCCAGCCACCCCACTATCGACCCAGCCACCCACTATCGACCCAGCCACCCCACTATCGACCCCAGCCACCCCACTATCGACCCAGCCACCCCACTATCGACCCAGCCACCCCACTATCGACCCAGCCACCCACTATCGACCCAGCCACCCCACTATCGACCCAGCCACCCCACTATCGACCCAGCCACCCACTATCGACCCAGCCACCCACTATCGACCCAGCCACCCCACTATCGACCCAGCCACCCCACTATCGACCCAGCCACCCCACTATCGACCCAGCCACCCCACTATCGACCCAGCCACCCCACTATCGACCCAGCCACCCCACTATCGACCCAGCCACCCCACTATCGACCCAGCCACCCCACTATCGACCCAGCCACCCCACTATCGACCCAGCCACCCCACTATCGACCCAGCCACCCACTATCGACCCAGCCACCCCACTATCGACCCAGCCACCCACTATCGACCCAGCCACCCCACTATCGACCCAGCCACCCCCTATCGACCCAGCCACCCCACTATCGACCCAGCCACCCCACTATCGACCCAGCCACTCCACTATCGACCCAGCCACCCCACTATCGACCCAGCCACCCCACTATCGACCCAGCCACCCCACTATCGACCCAGCCACCCCACTATCGACCCAGCCACCCCACTATCGACCCAGCCACCCCACTATCGACCCAGCCACCCACTATCGACCCAGCCACCCCACTATCGACCCAGCCACTCCACTATCGACCCAGCCACCCCTATCGACCCAGCCACCCCACTATCGACCCAGCCACCCCACTATCGACCCAGCCACTCCACTATCGACCCAGCCACCCACTATCGCCACCCACTATCGACCAGCCACCCCACTATCGACCCAGCCACCCCACTATCGACCCAGCCACCCCACTATCGACCCAGCCACCCACTATCGACCCAGCCACCCCACTATCGACCCAGCCACCCCACTATCGACCCAGCCACCCACTATCGACCCAGCCACCCCACTATCGACCCAGCCACCCCACTATCGACCCAGCCACCCCACTATCGACCCAGCCACTCCACTATCGACCCAGCCACCCCACTATCGACCCAGCCACCCCACTATCGACCCAGCCACCCCACTATCGACCCAGCCACCCCACTATCGACCCAGCCACCCCACTATCGACCCAGCCACCCCACTATCGACCCAGCCACCCACTATCGACCCAGCCACCCCACTATCGACCCAGCCACCCACTATCGACCCAGCCACCCCACTATCGACCCAGCCACCCCACTATCGACCCAGCCACCCCACTATCGACCCAGCCACCCCACTATCGACCCAGCCACCCCACTATCGACCCAGCCACCCCACTATCGACCCAGCCACCCACTATCGACCCAGCCACCCCACTATCGACCCAGCCACCCCACTATCGACCCAGCACCCCACTATCGACCCAGCCACCCCACTATCGACCCAGCCACCCACTATCGACCCAGCCACCCCACTATCGACCCAGCCACCCCACTATCGACCCAGCCACCCCACTATCGACCCAGCCACCCCACTATCGACCCAGCCACCCCACTATCGACCCAGCCACCCCACTATCGACCCAGCCACCCCACTATCGACCCAGCCACCCACTATCGACCCAGCCACCCCACTATCGACCCAGCCACCCACTATCGACCCAGCCACCCCACTATCGACCCAGCCACCTCACTATCGACCCAGCCACCCACTATCGACCCAGCCACCCCACTATCGACCCAGCCACCCACTATCGACCCAGCCACCCCACTATCGACCCAGCCACCCACTATCGACCCAGCCACCCCACTATCGACCCAGCCACCCACTATCGACCCAGCCACCCCACTATCGACCCAGCCACCCACTATCGACCCAGCCACCCCACTATCGACCCAGCCACCCCACTATCGACCCAGCCACCCCACTATCGACCCAGCCACCCCACTATCGACCCAGCCACCCACTATCGACCCAGCCACCCCACTATCGACCCAGCCACCCACTATCGACCCAGCCACCCCACTATCGACCCAGCCACCCACTATCGACCCAGCCACCCCACTATCGACCCAGCCACCCACTATCGACCCAGCCACCCCACTATCGACCCAGCCACCCCACTATCGACCCAGCCACCCCACTATCGACCCAGCCACCCACTATCGACCCAGCCACCCCACCGCAACCCCCGCGCCTCTGCCGGAGGTCTCCAAGCTGCTGCTGCTGCTCCCCCTCCCCCCGTCCTCACCCTCCGGGCGCGGTGCTCCATCTCGACGGCGACGGCTCCGTGGCCCCAGTGCCTGCCCCCCAGCAGCATGCAGGCGGCGCACAGCAGCGTCCCGTCCGTGCGGCAGTGGAACTCGAGCGGCTTGCCGTGCTCGCCGCACCGCGGCACGTCGCGGGAGGCCGCGGTCGCCGCGGTGGAGGAGGTGGGGACAGCGAGGGACTCGCCAATCTCCTGCGCTTCGTGGAACTCCTCCACCAGCTGCGCAATCAGCACGTTCTTGCTCAGCTCGGGCTGCTGCCTGTGGTTGTAGGGGAAAACTGACTCAGTCTTTTTGTGTCTCCCCCCGCCCCCCAAGCCGACTCCGAGATACAAAAAGACACAGAGATACACAGATGTATATAGGTACACAGAGATCCATAGACACACAGAGATCCATAGATACACAGATATCCATAGAGATACACAGAGATGCATAGATACACAGATATCCATAGAGATACGCAGAGATGCATAGAGACACATAAAGCACATACAGACTGAGATACACAAGAGACCCATCACGATGTAGACTAATGCTCCCATAGGGTTCAGTGTTAACCATTGAGATGCACAGAGCCAGGCTGAGACCTTCCATAGGGTTCAGTGTTAACCACTGAGACGCACAGAGCCAGGCTGAGGCCTCCCATAGGGTTCAATGTTAACCACTGAGACCCACTGAGACGCACAGAGCCAGGCTGAGACCTCCCAAAGGGTTCAGTGTTAACCACTGAGACGCACAGAGCCAGGCTGAGACCTCCCATAGGGTTCGTGTTAACCACTGAGACCCACTGAGACGCACAGAGCCAGGCTGAGACCTCCCATAGGGTTTGTGTTAACCACTGAGACCCACTGAGACGCACAGAGCCAGGCTGAGACCTCCCATAGGGTTCAGTGTTAACCACTGAGCCCCACTGGGACGCACAGAGCCAGGCTGAGACCTCCCATAGGGTTCAGTGTTAACCACTGAGACCCACTGGGACGCACAGAGCCAGGCTGAGACCTCCCATAGGGTTCAGTGTTAACCACTGAGACCCACTGGGACGCACAAAGCCAGGCTGAGGCGTCCCATAGGGTTCAGTGTTAGGGAGGGCAGTATCTGAGGCAGGGCAGTTACCTGTAGGCTGGGTAGTTACCTGTAGGCTGGGTAGTTACCTGTAGGCTGGGTAGTTACCTGTAGGCAGGGCAGTTACCTGAGGCAACAGTTACCTGTAGACGCGGCAGCACACGGGGCAAGTGAAGGCGCCCCCCTCGCACTGCCCGCCGCTCGCCCAGTGCGCCTCCACGCACGCCTTGCAGAACGTGTGTCCGCACGCCAGCCCCACGGGCATCGCGAACAGCTCCAGGCACACGGGGCACGACAGCAGCTCCTCTCGGGCCGACGACAACGACGACGAGGTGGTGTTGGTGGACGCCATGGCGCTGGTTTTACGTGCCCTCTGACCCCACGGCGATTCCCTCCGGCGGCGATTCCAGCCGCGTCGTCGATTCGGGAATCGATCCTCGCGATTTATTTATTAATTATAGATTTGAAGCTTTCGTGACTGCAAGTGTTCATGTTCTTAGGTTGTTTCGGTAAAGTCACGTAGGTAAAAAATAAAAATTAATAAAAAAAATCACGACGTTTAGGAGGCAACACAAGCTTCCGTCTTTAGGTGGAATTTCTGATTTACTTGATACAGCTATCGTGCTGTGACGGTTCCACCTGAAGACGGAAGCTTGTGTTGCCTCCGAAACGTCGTGATTTTTATTTTATTTTTATTTTACTTTTATTAATTTTATTTTTTACCTACGTGACTTTACCGAAAAAAAAAAAATCTAAGATTATTTATTTATTACTTGGTCCACGATTTACTGCCACCACCACCATCACCCCGTTTCTCGGGCTAGAGTTGAAACCTAAACGCGTGAACCTGCGCACGATTATCGTGGCAAAGATGATCGGATGCGAATTCAAATGTACTTTAGAACAAGGTTCCGCTGCTATTAGGGATCTGTCTACCCCAGCGGTCGGGAACCTATGGCTCGCGAGCCATATATGGCTCTTCCAGTGACGGCATATGGCTCCCAGACAATTTTGAGTTGAAAAAAATAATAATAAAAAAATAAAAAATCAGTTTGGAACTGATTTTAAAATACTTGTGATATTGTTTAATAATACTGTGTCATTTTAAAGTGAACAGAAATTAGTTTTGAAGATAAATTTCACGGGTCACGGGGCCTCAACGCCTGCATGAAGCTCAACCTCACCACGTACGAACCAGACTACAAGGCCATCAGCAAAACCATGCAGCACCAGAAGTCGCATTAAAAGTAAGACATATTTAATTTATTATACGTTAAAAATATTATATGGCTCTCAATGAAATATATTTAGAAATATTTGGCTTTTATGGCTCTCCCAGTCAAAAAGGTTCCCGACCCCTGGTCTACCCCGTAGGTTTACCCAGTCAAGCACTAGTCTCTGTTTTAGATTTGAAGCTTTCGTGACTGCAAGGATTCATGTTCTTAGGTTTTTTCGGTAAAGTCACGTAGGTAAAAATTTTAAATTAATAAAAGTAAAATAAAAATCACGACGTTTCGGAGGCAACACAAGCTTCCGTCTTCAGGTGGAACAGTCACAGCACGATAGCTGTATCAAGTGAGAGAAATTCCAAGAACACAGTATTTGTATATATATAGTCCAGAGGTGGGACAAAGTCATTGTTATGCAAGTCCAAGTCGAGTCTGAAGTCATCAAATTCATGACTCGAGTCTGACTCGAGTCCAAGTCACATGACTCGAGTCCACACCTCAGAGGTGGGACAAAGTCATTGTTATGCAAGTCCAAGTCGAGTCTGAAGTCATCAAATTCATGACTCGAGTCTGACTCGAGTCCAAGTCACATGACTCGAGTCCACACCTCTGATATATACTGGTTGAGGGTGGGAGGAGCCAAGGTAGGCTCTGGATATTATTTTTGTGAGGTTCGGTGCGGCTGAAGCACGCTGTTAGGAATGAGCCTTTGTTGTGTAAACTAGTTGCGGATGATGTAAAGGTGCGTGTGAAAGGGACTGAGCCTTTTTGTTATGTAGAGATGATGCGGCTGAAATCGCTGCCAGGAAATTAGTCTTTGTTGTGTAGACTGGGTGACAGAGCATATTGTTATGTAGAGGTGGTGTGGCAGCAAAATGTTGAGCAGCGAGATGCCAATGTCGAGGGTGTGCTGCTGGCCACGAGGAGAGGGCTTAGCAGAGGCGGAGAGAGTTCGTGTGGTTTTAGCTGGCATGGGCTTGGCGCCTGACTTGGTGTACAACGCCAGGGGTGGGGAACCTTTTTATCTGCCAAGGGCCATTTGGATATTTAGAACATCATTCGCGGGCCATACAAAATTATCAACTTAAAAATTAGCCTGCTATATTTGGTCAAACATTTAATTAACTCACCCCTAATGCGATGGGCTGGAACTGCTTCTCTTTGGTGAGACGTGTGATGTTAGCTGGCTTGGATAATGTTGCTACTCGCAACTGCTTTTCCAGGTTTGCTCCTAGATTGATTGAATTTCGAGTCCCGCCTGCGGTTGCCTTGGCAGGGCCACACCAGATGATTTCGCGGGCCTCATACGGCACGCGGGCCGGACGTTCCCCACCCCTGGTGTAAGCGATTGGGTTCGATCCCAACCTTTACTCCTCCTGCTGCTCATTCTCCGTTTTTTCCCCCACATTTATAAACACGCGTTTAGAGTATGTGGTTGCGATAAATTTCCACATAAGCCACTTCGTTGTGCTATCATTTTTGTGGCCAGGTCGCTTCTGAAAAGGAGCTACATAGCTCAGTGGGCCTTACCTAGTAAGGCCGCTTGTGGCCATGCAACCCAAACTATGAACTATATTTATTAAACCCATCAAGACACAGAGTTACATACAGACTCATAGAGACACAAATAGCTACATTAAAGACAAGCTACAGTAGTGATTGTGGCCACACAACCCAAACTCCCCTCCACGCACTCTCCTACCTCTCCCCTGTTGTCTCAATTTGCTCCCCTTTACGAATTCTCCTCCTATTCCCCTCTTATTTCACTCTCTACTCTCCTTCACGTGCTGTCCACTTTGGCTCAGTGGGCGCCCATCCGTTCTCCCCTGCTGCCTTCTCTAGTTGAGAACTCTCTTTTCCCAGCCATCCGTGCTGTCAGCCCCTGTCCCAGTTCAACCCCAGTACCAAGACCTCCTTATTTTCCGCTGCCTCTGACCGCCCTTTCTGTATAGAATTGCACGTCCCCTTCCCTTGCTGTACGGCGTCTGGAGGTGCGGCATCATCCAGACGCCGCTACAGGAATCCGCATTGTACTTCCATTGCATCGCGGGGGTGCGGATGGATGGGCGAGAGGATGGGGGGCCCTCCCTCCTCCACCAGCCAGCACCACCGCCGCCACAACCACCGCCACCACCAGCAGTAGCATCAGCAGCAGCGGAACCGGCCACACTGCCCTCTCTGTTTCTAGAGAAATCGAGACGCATCCCACAATTGCTTTGTCAATCATGCGCGCCTCATTATCCCACGGGCACATACGGCGTCTCATCCTTGCAGCCTCTCCCTCCCTCTCGCCCCCCCCCCTCTCGCTCCCCTTCTCTTCACCAGACGTACGCACACAGTCACCGCTCCGCTCGATGTCCACGGCCCCGGCATTCCTCTACGACGTGCGGCGTGGGCCCTGCCGTCGAGGGACTGAAAGGTGAGGCTTCTGCTCTGCTGCATCCGAAGGAACTTTTTTTTTTTCAAAAGTTTCACTTTTCAACCAAAGGTCAACTTTCCATAGGGTTTACTTAAAGTTAACTCGGGCGCAGTCGTGGCTTTAGCATCCGCCCCATGGGTTTGTGAGTTTAAATCGCGACTGGATGTCGGCTCATCATCTTCACGAGGTCAATTAAAGTAAGCACCAATCTGCGGGAAGTCAAACCGCAGTTGCCCTCTGGAGGGACTGACCCCCGCCATAGGAACGTGGAATCATTTCCCCCGCCTACTGGCTCAGAGTCGCTCACGGTGAGCGGTTAACCGGGCGGCGGGGCCCCCCTTGTCAGGGCAGCAGGCGGCTCCTGGCGCTGCCTTGCGAGGACAGACGATGGGCGACGAGGAGGAGTTTACATTTCGATGTAAAGCTTTCGTGACTGCAGGGATTCATCTTCTTGGTTCTTTCGGTAAAGTCACGTAGAAGGGAAATAATAAAATAATTAAAATAAAACATAATAAAATACAATTCTCACGACGTTTCGGCCACAACGCAAGCAGCCGTCCTCAGGTGAAGAACAGGTCTGTCCTCAGGTGAAGAACAGTGCTGTCGGAAAGACAGCGTCTGAAAAAGACAGCGTCTGAATGAGATTCAGACGCTGTCTTTCTGACAGACCTGTTTTCACCTGAGGACGGCTACTTGCGTTGTGGCCGAAACGTCGTGAGAATTATTTTATTATGTTTTATTTTTATTATTTTATTATTTCCCTTCTACGTGACTTTACCGAAAGAACCAAGAAGAGGAGGAGTTTGTTCCTCGCTCTGCTCTCACAGCGAGGTTGACGGTCCCGGCTTGCCCGCCCAGCCGTAGTCCACGCGCGCGTGCATTTAGTCCAGCTACTCCGGTTTCCTGCCACGTGGCATAGTAATAATACTGTAATAATGAACGCAGCTCATCGTGAATTTGGGCTAAAGACATGTTAAAATAAAAACCCAAATGTGGCAGCGGCAGGAGCCTCCTGAGAAACAAAAGAGTCCTAGGACTCAGTTGGGACTTTCCTGGATAAATTAGTAAGTTATAATTATTGAAAGGTTGAACACGATCCTGGAGGTTGCAGTTATACCTGCTTTGTGATTTGCGTCTATATATGATGATGAGGCCGGTTCCATGGCGCTAACGCGACACATCGTCGCTCGGACAATAGCACTGCGCCTATGACGTTGTGTACACTCTCCTGTGCCACCCTGTGTGTATGCGTGCTGGTCCTTGACCATACCTCCCCTGAGCCGCATTGCACGCTCATTTGTGAGGATAACGGTGTGTCTCTTTGGTGTCCTTCGGGGAGCGGTGATGCAGCGGTTAGCGAGCGTTGCTGTGCGGATGTTTGCTAACCGCTTTGTGGTTCTGGACTTTTGTCTGACAGGCCATCCTCTCGGCGCGGGGGTCCATGAGGTGACCAGTAGCTGCAGCAGCTGTGGCTTTCAGCTGTGGAGGAGGACGCATTCTCTCTCTCTCTCTTAGCAGAGTCCCAGACAATAATCATCCCTGCCGAGCCACGACGCCTGGCAGGGCGGTGAGTGTGGGTGAGCTGGGTGGTGAGTCCGTGCACTGTCTCTCTGCCTGCAGGCTGGTGAGTGTGGGTGAGCTGGGTGGTGAGTCCGTGCGCTATCTCTCTCCCTGCAGGCTGGTGAGTGTGGGTGAGCTGGGTGGTGAGTCCGTGCGC